CCCACCCCCCACCGCCCCCGCCACCCATATGCTTTGTGTGAGTTTATGTGCTGCCAGGAGCCGAAACATAAATTAGATGATGCACGCATAGCCCACATGCACGGCTCCCAAACCGCAAAAGTTCTCCAACAAGTTTCTGCTTGACGCACCGTTTGTAATACTTGTCTGTCTCAGATTATATGGATTTTTTTTTTGGGGGGGGTGTGGATAGGGGGGAGGAGGTTAAAAGAGAGCGTTGTCGTCCGCTGAACGAGCAACTCAGTGGGGCTTTAATAAGGACTTGAGTTTGTTGACAGTATTTTGCAAATGTGATTCCTGGTCGGAATGTTTCTGTGCCGTCGCATCGGGCGCGCAGAAGCAAAACAGAGTTATCTCAGGTCAGGGACAAGACCGACTTTCTATGTACGCTGCTGGATGCGAGCCCAACCCAAAGCCACAAAGCCAAGCCCGTGTATCGTGGCTGCAGGCTTTGCGTCGGGCAGACGGAGAGCCACCATCCCGTGAAGAGGTGTTGGCGGCTCCTTTTCACATGTCAGACGATGATCAAGCGGCGCTTGGCATCGAGCGCCGCCGCGTCTGGAAAGTTCACATTTGTCAAGAGCCCCCAGAAAACCGTCTTGTTGTCTCGGGAGTCGCGCGCGCACACAGACGCACGTTGCTCAATATCATTGCCCTTTTGAGAGTGTCTAAAGGGGGGCTTTCGATGACGTATGAGCTCAGGGAGAGAGAGTGGGAGGGGGGCGGGGGGGGGGGGGACACAAAAAAGAAGCAAACCACACCCTCAACAGGAATGCACACCTGCATGAATCCAACACAGGCCGGCTCCCAAAGACGAACATATTTGGTGGTTCTTTTATCTGAGGAGCCATAATTGTCGGTGGCTCATTATACGACTTGATGAAGGATTTTCTCATTTCGAAAGAAAGAAATGAGCAAAGAGCTGCGCTGTTTGGAATTTCAAGATGATACGTTTCACCAACTGGCCCCTCCCGGCGGATGATTTGCTCATCGCTCCCGCACAAGGTTGACATATGTTCTTTGTTTTGTAACGTTATAACTTTGCCAGGTCTAACTTTGAGGCCGAAATCTGGAAAGTGGGACTGGATGTTGAGATGTGCGACGTCAGGCGACCCGCTCAGGCTTGATGCCATCCAATCGTCATGCAGGGTTGCGCACGTCGGCCAGGAAACGGCGGTTCGTCAGAGCCCTGACACGAACACAAGAGGTGCCTGGCCTGGTCCGTCACAGGTTTCCGTGGCAACAAGAGGGAAATCATATTCATTTTTTTTTTTTTGGCGGGGGGCATCACATTGTTACAATCCAAACTACGATTGGTCCCCAGAATAGGTCAGGACCATTGCTCAGGATAAGCAAACCCTTTTGACGCTACCAGCTGGTTAACTCCTGATGTGACAAAACAGAGCAAAAGTCAGCAAAAATGGCAAACGTCAGTGAGGAATGCGGGGCACCGACGACATCGTGGGACTCGTTTGAAATGGATGAGAAATGGACATTTCATGGGCTGCTTTGTGTTTTCAAGAGGATGATGCAAGCTGACATCAGACTCATGCCAACAACATTTCGGGGATGAACAACAGTTCTGCAGATGCAAAAAAAAAAAAAAAAACCCCGAAATCAATTCCTCACAACACGTGGTTTCAAGAAATTGCACCATTTTTTCTCAAGATTTCTTTTGTTAATCTGGATTCAACTCAGGATTGAATGGATTTGTGGTTGGCTACCCCCGCCCCCCCCCAAAAAAAAGGTTCAAATAAGAAGTATGAAGGCGCTTTCCCAATGCGGCGGCGCACATAGAAGAGGGGTGCGCGGGTGCGCTCCCCGGAAGACGGCGGTCAACCGGTTAGCACGTCGGCCTCACGGCGCAGAGGTGCAGGATTCGATTCGGGCTCCGGCCTTCCTGTGTGCCATTTGCATGTTCTCCCCCCCCCCGTGCCCTTGTGGCTTTTCTCCGGGTTTCCTCTCACACTCCAAAAACATGCATGCTAGGTTGATAGAACGCTCTGAAATTGTCCCGAGGTGTGATTGTGAGCGCGGATGGTTGCTGGTCTCTGTGTGCCCTGCGATGGGCGGGCGACCGATTCAGGGTGTCCCTCTGCCTTTCAAACAGCCACCCAAGAATGTGCCGTGAGCAGTCATAATGACACTAATCCTCAGACTCCTCCCTCTTCCCCCTCCCCCGCCATTTATCCTCACAATTTATCCGTAATCTGACAATGTCATCTGTTAACAATGCATTTTCAGCCACTTTTGCAGTTTTAACGCGACTGGGGAAAATTGACGAGCTCGTTAGCATGCCGCAGGATGTTTGAATGCGAGCGCGTTTGTGAACGCCACACGTGTTTGTGAACGTGTGTGATTGCGCACCTTTGCATGTGGGAAACCCAGGAAATCAGCGCTCCCATGTGCCAGCTTCCATTGTGTTTGGCTTCCTTCACTCCGTCTTTCTCGGAGTGACTTTATGTTTAGCTGCCGTGTTTCCTTCTCTCATTGTGCCGCTAATGAGAAGTGAGAGGAAGTCTGTGCCAGAGGCTTTGCGCTTGGCAAAAGCAACGCCGTTCTCATGAACGGCTCAGGAAAGCTGCGCTTAAATTCGTGGCAGTACATCAGAAACTGAAATCCAAGTTTCCAATCCGGCCATAAAACTGGGCTGCGCGACGGTCTGATGAGTGTACTTTTGATCACTGGCTCCCCGCTGGGCACTACCAAAATAAAAGGA